CAGTGCTGGCCTAGGTACTCTCCAGGGGAGGGCAGTGGGGCATACTGGCTCTCAGGCTACCTACCTGCCAGTGCTGGCCTAGGTACTCTCCAGGGCTCCTTCTGACCCTGGTGCCCTGCTGTCACAGGGTGCCCCTCCTGCCCTCATCCTGCTCCTTCCCAACACCTAACCCTGCTGCTCCTTGAGCTTTGCAGCTCAGTGGCCAGAACATCAGGACAGGTGCTCCCCTTAGGCCATGATTTAATTTAGCTCACAGGTGCCCCACATGGGGCCCCTTCCCATAAGAACTAGCCCTCAAACTGCTCTTGGAAATGAAATTCATTGGCCTTACTCCCCTGTATTCTGAGAATTTAATGTTCCTCTCCCCTCAGTCACCTAATTTTCTCCCAGTGGGCAAAAGTGTCTCAATCAAACACCAGAGTAGACCCTGAAAGCTTCCTCCCATGAAACCTGGCCCTCCTGGGAAGACTGGAAAGACCTTCTCAGGGCCACCCTTACCTAGACTGTAGCACCACAAACTCTTGTAGCAGTACCTTGACACTCTGTCTGCTCTGACTCCTTAAATATGTGGTTTCTTCCAAAAAGCCAAGAACTTTGCAACCTTCTTGGAAATGAAGCCACAGAAGCCATAAAGGGAGGTCTCTCCATCGCGGCCTATCCATGCCCTCTTATCTACTTAATTAAAAGAGTCCCTGGGTGGTACAAATGGCTAAGTGCTGGACTACTAACCAAAAGGCTGGCAGTTTGAACTCACTCTGAGGTACCTTGGAAGAAAGGCCTGGTGATCTGCTCCAAAAGGACACAGACTTGAAAACCCAATAAAGTGTAGTTCTACTCTGACACATGTGGGGTCACCATGAGTTGGAATCGACTCAATGGCAACTTTCCTTTAATCATATTTTTATCTATGGTATAGAATTCCATCTCCTCTATACTCTAATATACCTCAAATGTGGCCCTATTTTTAAGAAGTTGACATAGGCACAGGTTCATTTTGGCTGGTTGTGGAATGGGGTTCTATTAAGTGTTTCCTATAAGAAAATACTAGCCCCCCAGAAATGTTGGTAAATATTCTAAATATCGGTAAAGATGAGGGTCAGAAATCTATTACCTGGAGGAATTCAAGAGGAGGTGAATTCATACAATTTTACTTGCCCCTTTTGATGTCTGCCCTCTCTGTGACCCCTTTTCAATGCCTTATCTTGTTCTGATAGCAAGGAGAATTTATGGCAATCCAGAAATCTCTCTGGCAGGACTAAATATAATTTTGCACAAAAGATGGAGGAGGGTAATGAACTTTGAAGGCCTCCTCTGTGATGAAGCCTAACTCAGAGCCTTCTGACAGCTGAGCTGCAGCAGCCAGGACGGAGGTGGCCTCAGAGCACAGTTCTGGCCAGTGTGTTGGGAACCCGGATTGGGGCATCCAGAGGGAACTGGCAGGAATGCTAGGGGAAATCCTACTGTTCCCCATACTCTGAGGTCTCCTTTCTCTTGGCTGACTGGGGAGAAGCTGAGGCCCAAGAAGGACAGCCACCATGGAAATTGTTATTAGAGCCACTGGGCTGGGAGGGGAGGTGGCCCCAAGGGGAGGCTCTGGGGAGCAGCTAAGAATTTCAGGAAATGGCAGGGAGGGTCCTCAGACAATCATTCCAAGGAAGGGGAGCTGGGAGGGTCGGGGTCCTTAGGAAGTTACTCAGAGGAGGGGGGCCTGGGAAAGTTAGGGTTCTTAGGAAGTCATTCAGGGGGAAGGAGCCTAGGAAGGCTCATACAGGTTAGAGCTGAGCTGATTTTGGAATGAAAATTCGCCAGGTCCTCCCTTCTCTCCCCTTGTCTGCAGCATTGCCTAGGGATAATCTGTTCTCTCCTTTCCTTTGAATTTACTTTTTCATCCTTTGGGTAGGTTTCCAGGCCCCCAGATTCTTGAGCTCATTCCCGTCCTAACTTTCCTCATCTTGTGAAGTTCCCCCACACCCCAAGTCCTCTCCCCATGGCTCAGCCACATGCTAGGTATTTAGGTCCAATCTCAACCAGAGGCCTCAGGTGGACAGGATTTAAGGAGCTCTAGCCAAGCACCCTGGACTCAGCCATCATCTGCCTGGTCCCAAGTGGTGGGGCTGGGTCCGACTCTGTGAACTAAAGCCTGATTGCTTCCTGTTCTTGGCAACCTGCCCACAATCCAAGCCCCTCCAAGCCTGGGCACTGCCTTACTCTTCTCAGAGCCCCCGCCTCTATGCTGAATCTTCAACCCTCGGGCTGGGCCTTGCAGCCAGTCATCAGCCTTCATAGGTGCTCACACCCTGCACTGCACATCATCTGCACCTGGCTTGGCAGACCCACTTGCGTAAGGATGTGCCAAGGCTGCATATTTGGCATTCATTGTCCAGCTCCAGGCCAACTGCTGCCTGCATGACCACCTGGTGTCTGAGGCCAGCTGTTTTGCCCAATGGTATGGATGAACTCTAGTCCTGAAACTGGTCTGGAGAGTGGGCATGTCCACTCCAATAGGAGCTGACATAAGTTAGAAGTGTCACTCTGATGTGACTGCATGTTGACAGCAGATACCTGAAGCCCTAAAAGGGTGGCAAGAAGTGCAGAAGGTGTGGGGGCTTTGGGGACACGGAGTTTGCCCTGGGTTGTTCCAACTGCACTTCATACCATAGCATAAGTCTGTGCTCTCACATATCAGCTTCCACTACCATTCGCCCTCCCCTCTCCTCTCAGCTGGTCTTGCCAAGCCTCTCCGCATCATGCACAGGAACTGAGGAACCGCTCCCCATCATCAGATGCGTCCTCCATACCCTCATCTCTTACCTGCTTCCTTACGACCCTCAGGGCCCCAGCCTGGCATTCACATGAGGCTCGCAGGCTGGCCAGTGATCAGGCCCGTCCACCCCACAGCAGACGTGAGCCTCCTTTCCTCACTTTCCCCCTCCCCACCCCATCCCATTTTCTCTGGCTGCCATCATTCCATTCAGCTCACGGATTTTTCTCCTTTAATCACTTTGGTCAAAAGAAATGACCCATCTCTGCTGACTTCACCCTCTTCTGAAATTTCCAACTCTGAGCCGACACTTTCTTCCTCATTTTACCCTTTACCTCTGTTCCCACCTCTTCCAAGGGGACCTTCTACAGTAGACATGGGGATGCACAGAGAAAAAAAAATCTAAGTGCCAGACAGACTGACTGAAAATATGGTCAGTTCTAAGGAAGAATTGATGGATGAATAAGGTGACCTTGTTGGCCCTCCGGGCCGGCAGAGATCTTGGTCTGGTGCAGAAGTTTTCAAATCCAAGGGCTTTCGAGGAGCAGGGCTCCGACTTCAAACAGAGCAGCTCTCATTTGTCTGTTTCTCATACTGGCTTCTGCAAAGGCGTTCATTTCAAGAGTGCAGTGGGGCCCAACAGATGTGAGATCCACTGGTCCAGGTCAACTGTCTGACTCTGGGTCGTCTCTAGAGCAGCTCCCCCAGCATCCCACTTCCCTCTGTTCTAACAGGTAGCAAGGGTGAAGCGGAGGAGACATTCACTCTGTCACTAAGTACCCACACTCCCTGCAGGCAGCTCTACTGTTAAGACAATTTTTCCTTACGCTGAACTGGAATCTGCCTCACATCTGGCTTCCTCCACTGGTCCTGGTTCAATGCCTTGGGCCCTCGTCCGAAACAGTCTCATTCCTGTGGAAGCCCTTCAGGTATCTGAAGACTGTTATGGGTCTATGCCCCTGCCCACACTCCACCTCAGGCCTTCTCCGGCCTGGCCAAACACTCTCAGTTCTTTCAGCCATTCCTCAGGCCCTGGCTGCTAGGCTGCCAAGTCGACCACCTCAGGGGTCTGACCCACATAGCTCAGGCCTAGCCTCACCCTGCTGAACACCATGCTCCCATTCAGGGACCTTCACCAGGCCCTTCCCCTCCCTGGGCCTGTGTTCTCATCTGTACAAGAGAGGGTTTGCGCTAGTCGGCCCCTAAGGTCTTCTAGCTTTTACTTTTTTGAAGGTCAATGAGTTTCCTGATGGGAAGGCTTCCATCCCCCATCTCCCAAGTTGCTGAGTCACTCTGAGTTCACCCTGTTTAAAAAAGTCTTGAGTGTCCTCAGTGGAGGACACTATTATGATGAGTATGAAGACAGCTACATTATGGGGACTCAACTGGGACTGACTGACCCTCTGCTTCTTTAGAAATCTGGTCCAGAAATTGGCTCCAAAAAGCCAACGGCTTTTTCCCTCCAAAGTTTTCTTCTTTCTTTTTCCTTTTTACCAAGACCAAGAGTTCATCGCTTTACAGTGTGTGGCCCCTGGCCTCCTCGGGGTCCCCACATTTCCATGGGGCCTTGGGGCAGGATGCTGGAAACCTGCCAGGTACCCACTTTCCTGGTATCCCAGAGTTCCTGACCCCTCCCGAGGCCTGACTTGGCCAGCATGGAGAAACACGTCTTGGCACCTCCAAAAGTTGCCAGTGGAATTAGGGAACAGGGTGAAGGGGGACGTACCTGGAAGCCATAACTGGGGCTGGACCCAAACCAGGGCGACAGGCTGCTGGCCCTGAAGACCCCCCCTCCCACCCCCCATGACACCTGGACGGCCCAGGAACCTCCCAGTCGTACCTGAGAGGAGGGTCTGGCCCGTGAACTGCCCGTACACGGAGGCAGCATGGGGAAAGGCATTGAAGGACGGGACCGAGGCACCGGCTGGGACCCCGGAGCCGACTTGCTGCAGATCCAAAAAGGCGGAGCTAGATAAAGAGGAAGGGGTGGAGCTAGAACTGGACACCTCGGGGGTTTCCTGCTTTATGGCGAAGGGTGAATGAGGATCTGCCGGAGGGAGGGAGACAACAAGGAGAGAGGGGTGTGAGATGATGGGGTGGGAACATGCACAAACTAAACCATGAGATGTGGGGAGGGGTGCGGCAGGTAGGGCGCTGGGGCAGGCAGACCTGGGCTCCTCTCTGAGTCTGGGGGTGGGCAGGGAGGGGCCAGAAGGTGTTCCTCAGGTTGAGTGAGGAGGAGAGACAGAAGCTCTTCCTCCCTGTGTACTTTCTGCTGTGTGGATACAGTGACTGCGACAGTGTGTGCCCTTCTCTCCCCACGGTGGGGAGAGATGGCGTGACCCTCTTGACCCACCTTGAGGCCCAGCCAGCACAGCGCACGACTCCTCACAGGCCCAGGGCCCCAGTACGCCTTCCTCCTCAAAGCCAGCCAAGCTCTGCCTTCCCCTGCTCTCCAGCCCACCCTTGCAGCTGGGTCCAGATGACCCAGGAGATTCTGGGCTCCATACCTGCCACCACAGGGTACGTCTGGTGAGTCGAGAGGTTGCGCCCCAAGGGTGTATTGGAAGGGGTCAGGGTGGCCTTCCCATCGTCCAGGGTGCTGTTGAGCAAGGGCAGTGGGTAGAGGCCCTGGAGAAGAAGGAGAAGTCAGCACACAGAGTGGCCCAGTGGGTCCCCGGCTTTGTGCTCCCAGGCAAGCTAGGGCAAACAAGCCTTTCCAGAGACCCTGCAGCCAGTCTGTAGGACTTGGCAGCCCTGATCTCCCAGGAAAAACTCCTTTCCTCATTGTCCCCTTCTTCCTTTTTTGACTTCACTTAGCGTGTTTAATCTGTTCTCCAACTGATGGCCCTGCTGTCCATCTCCTAATCCCAGGCTCAGAGTTTCCCTACTGTATCCCTGGCATTCAGTGTCCCTGGTGGGATACAAGCCCGGGAATCACATAGAGTGCCTCCTTCAAAGGAGCAAGCCCTCGTTGGAATGCTCGTCTCCTTCCTTGTCTCCTCACACTGTTTGGCCTCACAGAGTATAAGATGGTGCCAAAGGCTGGGACAGTCAGAGTGCTTCACCATTATCAATTAATTTCATCCTCTCCAGACAGGAAACTGAGGCACAGAGAGGTTAAGAAACATATCATACTTCCATATGGGGCAGCCAGGATTCAAACCCAGGCAGTGTGGCTCCAGTGTCCATGCTCTTAACCTCTGCCTAAACTGGACAACACAGTGACCACCCTGTATATCTGCAGAGTTTACATTAGAGCTTTGCCTAGGGTATCTTGATTGATTCCCCCCAACAGTCCCATGATGTGGATAGAGTGAATCATGTCTCTTTTATATGTGGAAAGCCTGAAGCCCAGAAGAGTAAATGTCCCAGATCCATATAATAAAACTGGGACTAAAACCCAGGACTACTGATCCTTCAGTATCACGGCAAATGCGGTACCCTATCAGAATAGATGGATTTATTCTTCTCTCCATACCCAAGCAAATATAAACCTGCAGGTTCAGCTTGAAGATGATATGTGGGAGATAATTTTACTCGAAAGGCCGTTTATCAAATCTTGGGAGTCTCTTTAAGAAGACCTCGTTTTGTACTCCCATCAGCCTCCTCTGACATTAGCACAGCTGTCTGCTAAGGTGCTGTTTCCAAAGAGAATCTGTTCCGTTAAAAGCAAGTGTGTTCCACCCCACCAGGGCCCCTCCTACCAGGGGAGCAGACAGCACACACAAGCACACACACCCTTGCCCACAAATGGGCCACACAAATCACAAATACACTGTGAAAAATATTGTGCAAAACTGAAATCAAAGGATGCTCCACGGTTACGTAACGACGCCACTAAAGGCAATGGCTTCAGTGATCTCCATGGAGCCAGGTTCTCTAGGGAGCCACAATGCTTTCTGGTTGCACGCTGGGCACTTCTGGAAGCTTCAGTCAATTCTGGAGGCCACCAGGGCACCACTGGCGCACGGCAGCAACTACTAAATGGGGCTCTGGTTCTGCGCCTTGCAAGGGGGCCTGGCTTAAGGAAACTGAACACAATACCTAATTTCTAGAGAGTGTTAAGTTTCAAATGCATCATGGATGTCTCGATTTGATACCAAAATATCTATTCAAAATCCTATAGCTGTCCCAAAATTCAGACAATTCAGTGAAAAAAGAAAAAAGAAAACCTAAATAGTCAAACACTTTGGTGATGCTGCACTGAACAGCTTAAATACCCACATGATTGACTGGATTTTTTTTACTAGAACTGAGGTTGAATTGGAGGGGCAGAACTTGGGCTCTGGAGCCTAAGAGAGGTGGGTTTCAGCCCTGCTTCTGTGATGACCAGCCCATTAGCTGTAGTCTACTTGGACTCCCTGAGCCTTGATTTTCTCACCTGCTGTATGCCAGGGATAATGAAATCCACTAATGTTTAAGCTGCTGTAAGGACTAGGGGAGATTTTATATACGTGTATGGAGTGCCTAGCACAGAATGCTTGGTAATAGTAGATGTTCAATAAACAGTTGTCGTAGATCTTACTATTTGAGGGTTATGTGAACAGTCAAAGGGTGCCAAATTCTGGAGCTCTGTCATCATAATATTCACATTTTGTTGATTTGCGTCTTTGTGCATTTGTAAAATAGAGGAACAAAAGCTGTGCAGACTCCTAACTAAGCCTGGTAGTGAATTAGCAACCAGGAAGGAGGCCACGTGATGTTTCTGTGGAACACGTTCTTGCTCATTTTTATACAAAAGATGACTATGTCTTTGCCCATCCTAAGGCAAGCGTGAGTACCCATGCTTCTCTCTCGGCTCCCCAAGCTGGAGGGCCTTCTCATGCCCATGTGAGAGGATAAGGAGTGCTGCTTTGGCAGCGAAGTCAGGCTTACTAGTGGTGGCAAAGGCAAGGGCTGTGGGCAAGAGGGGCCCTGGGCACAGGCTAGGCTCTCCCTGCCTCTCACACCAACCCAGGTGAATGAGTGAATGAGTAATGATTGACTGAGGGAGTGAATGAATAATTGATGGAAGGTCCCTAGAAGCTGCAAACGGTTTGCACTCAACCACTAACGTAAAGGTTGGCAATTAAACCCACCCAGTGGTAGCACAGAAGAAAGGCCTGGTGATCTTCTGTAAATAGTACAGCCAAGAAAACCCTATGGAGCAGTTCTACTGTATAACACATGGGGTCACCATCAGTCTGAATTGACTCAATGGCAATTAACAACAGCAACAGAACAACATGCTGGGCCTCAGTCTCTTCATCTGTAGGTTGAGGGGTTGGAGCAGTCCAACAGTCTTCAAACTTTCTGCAGGCTTCAAAGAATTTACATAGAAGTATAATATATAAAAAGAGATTACAGTGGACTGAATGAAACCAGGACTGAATGCCGTAACTGTCTCTTTCCCCCCAGCCTTCCCCCTACCTCCCTGGCCCTGGGTTATCTCCACATAACTGGAAAACTGGGCTAGGTGGTCACCGAAGTCCCCTCCAGCTCTAAGACTCTCTCATTCCAGGATCCCTCGTGTGTGTATGCCAACATGGTGCTGAGCTCCTTGTAACCATGCAGGGTCCCCTGGGGGACTCGGAATGGAGCCGGGCCCTAGGACATGCTTCTGTGACACAGCGGGTGGCCAGCGACTCCGTGGCAGGGTTTCTTTACCCTGCTGGGGTGGCTGGTGCTCCACACTTGGCTTTTGGCTCACTCTCACACAGCGGCTCCCTGCAGGCCCCCTGCGGCCCTGTTTCCCTCCCAGAGCCGTTGACCACTGCAGGCACTGAGGAGCACCCAGACCCTCTCCCTGGGGCTGCTGACGCCTGGCTTTCCCTGCATCCCTCGTGGTTGCCACAGCCCAGGCTGATAAAATCGCTGACGCAGATTGCCTGCCCAGGTGCAGGTGCTGGCATGTGTCCAGAAGTCCAGACAGTCACTGGCAATGTTTCAGCTGACTATTGGCATTGCCACCATTGTCCGACTCAGATCTTAAAGGCACATGGGTCTGCCTAATCTGGGATCAAATGGGAGTAAGCAAAGAGGGGTGAACAGAAGCCACCCTAAAGAATCTCTTCAACTGGTTGAGTTGGTGGGGCGAGTGGGAGGAAGACACTAAGACTGTTGACTGATAATAATGAGCCAAGCGGCCAGCGGCCCTAGAGTGTCTGAGTTTTGAATCTTCTTTCTGTTGGGCTCAGGGGGGAACTCTTACATCTGTGTCAGCTCTTCCCAGCAGTCTACCCGCTATCATCCATTCTGCCTGTCCTGAGCATCGGAAATAAAAATTCCCTTGTGACTTTGCAATTTGTTGTCCCACATTTCTCAACTCATTCATCTGTTCATTCATTTAATAAAACTTTATTGAGTATCTATTACAACTGGAGGGGTCCCTGAGTAGAGCAAATGGTCATGCTCTTGACTACTGACTGAAAGACTGGTGGTTCAAACCCACACCAAAACACCTCAGAAGAAAGGCCTGGTGATCTGCTCCCGAAAAGTCCTGGCTATGAAAACCCTGTGGAGCACAGTTCCACTCTTAACACACACGGGGTTGCTGTGAGTCGGAATCGACTTCATGGCAACTGGTTTGGCTTGGTTTATTATAACCGGGGCACGATATTAGGTGCTGGAGATAAAAAAAAATAAAACGTGTTTAAGATGCTGCCCTGTCCTTAAGAACCCCATTGTCCCTTTACACCTCTGTCCAGATCATTACAGTACCCCGTGGGTGAGAAGTGATTAGGAGGGCTATGTCAAACCTCCAGCGGCACGGAGGGGCAGAACTGCTTTCTGCGTGAGGGGCAGCAGGACCTGTGGAGCAGGGTGTGAGCTCTGAGCTGAGTCACGATGCCCAGGCAGAGAAGTGGAGAGGAGGACATGAGGACTGGGAGGAGAGGGAGGCAGGAGACAGGACATCCGATGAAATAAAGCTGTGGTCGGGTTTTGAGCTGCACGCAGCACATGCCCTGAGCCCATCGAAGCAAGTTCTGGGCTGGCTTTGGTGCAGGACTGCAGGCTGCTTATGGACCTTAAGAGCGCTCACAGAACTTCAGCCCCTGCCTCCCGGCCCACAGGCCCAGTGTCTCACCTGCTCGCCTTTGGTGTGACTGGGGGAGGCATAGGCTTCCTGGTAGTGCTGCCGCTCAAACGGACACTCGAGCGGCTCGAGGTGGTGCTGGCTGAATGTGTCCGTGCGATGATGCTTGCGGGGCCCGCTGCTGCTGGTCTGGGAGTCGGTGCTCAGCCGGCAGCTGTCCTGGTCACCTGGTGCCCGGGCAGGAGAGAGCTTTCAGTGGGACCCATCTACCTATCCCCTGCACCCAGGCTCTGTGCAGTCAGGTGGGCCTGGAGGAGCAGACTGGGCCAGGCTCCCAGACCCCAGGGGCTGTAGCCAGCTTAGAGACAGGCCATGCCACTCTGAGGGCTGGAGTTACAGAGCCATGACAAAGTCCTGGGCCATGAGAGGGGGCCCCTGTTTCCATCAAAGCCCCAGCACTGCCCTCCTGTACCCTCAGCCTGTCTCCTATCCCCTGAACACTCACTGTCATCCATTTTTCTTTTGCTGTCGCTGCCAGGCTGAGCGATCCCCAGGAGCCCGTTGATGGAATAGGTGGAGCCCAGGGAATCTGACTGCGGTGACTCCGGGGGTGTTACGGCTGAGCTGGGGACTGCAGAGGGTGAGAGAGAGAGAGTCAGAGCCCTGGGAGTGAAGTGACATACCTCAAAGCCCCAGCTGCCCCTGTGGAGGAGGCAGCAAGCAACCTGTGCAGGGCTGACCCCTGGTGAGGCTCAGAGGGCTTTCCTCCAAGGGGGCCATTGAGAGTCTTGGAATCAATGCTGCCTGAAGTTTTTCCACCCCTAAATATTTCTAAATACCTCTAAAGTGAAACTTCCCTGGGAACCAGGCAAGGCTCTGTACCAGCGGAACGGCTCATCCTACATCTAGGTTTATGAGTATATGGATGTGTATGTGTGGGCCTGTTGCTGTGTGATTCTGTGTATGTGTGGGTACATGTGTGCATGCACACAGGTCCAGTCAGCACTCACTCAGTGTGTGTCCTGGACTCAGGGACTTGGTGGCCACGCAGTTGTCCATGGGGAGGTTAAATGGTTGTTGCACTTTGGTCCGGATGATTCTGTGCAGAAGAGAGAAAAGGTCATTAGAAGTGGAGGAAATTGGTCTCATGGCTGCCCCAGATGCAGCTGCCTGTTTGACATCTCACTCGGGTATCTCAAAGGCACCTCAAACTCCACCTGTCCACCTTCAGAGCCATGACCTTACTCCTCACACCTAGTCCTCCCAGTGTCCCCATTTCATGATTGGCATCAAGGCTGAAATACAGGTGGGCTTAACATCTACCTCTCCCTCACTTTCCTGTAAACTCATCATCAGTTCTGTGAGTTTGACCTTCTAAACCTCGCCAGCATTTAGCCACCTCTCTCCAGCTCACTGCCAACACCTTCTTAGTCCGTGGCATCACCAGCTCTCTTTCCAGGATCACTCACTTGTCCACCCCCATCCACTTTTGTCTCTTTCTAATCTAGTCTCCCTACTGCAACCAGAGTGGACTTTCTGAAATGCAAGCCAGCCTCTTGCTTAACATTTGTCAAAGTCTGCCATTGCTCATAGGTCAAAGGCAAGAATATGCAGTAAGGCCACCAGCCTCTGAAGGACAGCCTCTGCTGACATCTCCAGCCTTCTTTCAGCTTCTTAGATATAATCCTATTAGCCACAGGGCCTTTGCGTATGCTATTCCTTCTACCCAGGGCTCATTTCTTTCCCCTTTTCCCCCAGTTAACTCTTACTCATTGTTTCTTCCTCAGGGACAGGCCTCCCATAACCTCCCTAAACTAGACCACCCTATGCTAGCTCACAGACCCTACTTAGGTCCCTCTCCCAAGCGGGACTTAGAGTTGCACTTCTGCAATTGTTTGTGTGGTTACTTGATTACAGCTTCTCTTCCCGTTAGACTGTAAGCTCTGCGAGGACAGGGATCATGTGTCTCCAGGACCTAGCACATAATGAGTGAGCTACACGTGAATGAGTGAATGAGTGAGTTAATGAGTGATGGAGGCAGGGAATGAACATGACTAAACAAATGAGTGAATGCTTGAATGAGGGCCAGGTTAGGATCTTGTGGCTAAGGAAATGACCAACTCAAGAAGATTTTTACTGAGTAAAAGAGGATTTGGTGCGTGAGGAAGGAAACTGCTGATAGCATTCCATGAGGGATGGAGGAGTGCCCTGGGGGATGCCCATAGAATGGGATGGGTGAGGAGGCAGGCAGGTATGATACCTGCCCTGTGCCTGGGGTGCTCCCTGCCTGATTCTTCAGCACGAGACCCCTTTGAAACTCCCACTTCACTCAAGCCAGTCCCTTCATCAGATCTCTTTCACGATTCCCCTAAAGCCCAGTGATTCCCAGCCTCATCTCAGAGGCTGCTGTCTCTCTCTTACCTGTTGATGGAGCTGACACTGGGCACGGTGTCGTTGTCACAGACACCCTCAGCCAGGAGCCGGTCTCGGATCTCCCATGCAAACATGGTAGGATTTTGTCGCTTGTAGTCCCCAATCTTCTCCACCACCTTGGGGGTGGCCACCTTGGGCTTGGAGCCCCCTATCACTCCAGGACGGATGCTGCCAGTCTCATAGTACCTACTCCAATAGAGAAGCCCAAAGAATTACCCAGTAAGCAGGTGGGGTGTTTGGGCAGGAATTGAACCTGAGACTCTCGTTCCCCTCAGAGGCTTCTGTGGAGGGTTACGGGGTGAAACATGCCCCTGAAGCTAGCCTGAAACACCTTATGATCCCAGGACTATCTGTTTCCCTTACTTGGGTAGGTTTATACTGTTGCTCAGTCAGAACCCTCTGCTAAAGACCTCATCCTGGGATGCCTAGCTTCTGTCTTTCCCTTCTCTCTAGCCAGTCTCCTATAGCAGAACACTTGCAGGAGCCATCTTATGGGCCACAAAAGATTTTCCTTCTCAGAAAGGAAATCTTGGCCTGTGTACTCTGTGTGAATTGTAAGTTCACAGTGGTTTCTTCAATCAGGCTTCTCTTAGCTAAAACATTACTTACTATTCCGCTTGACCATCTGATTTTACACCTATCCCGGGAAGTGAACTGGGGTCACTGGGCCCTCTGCCCTGTCTTGCTGGTTCACTTTTCCCTTCCACTTGTCTAAGCCTGAGCTACAGCCCTCACCCCTACCCCCGTCCCTGTTGAAATGAGACTCTTCTACCAGGCTACTTGGTTCCAGTTCAAGCTGCTCTTTTCATGAACTCTGGAATCCCAACCTGGCTTTTAACCCTGGCCAGGTCCTAGTCCTTAAACAAGCCTACTCTTCCAGAGTTTCCACTTTGTCCCTCCAACTCCCTACGTGGCCCAGCTAGCTGCCTTGACAGCTTGATGGTCTATGTCAGGACATCCTCCCTTGCTTGTGGAAAATCTCTGTCTCTTCTGCCATGGGGATAAAAGTCTGGCCCTCCAAAATTCCATTCACTTATCACTGCAATCCATCTCAGGAGTCCCATCTCCCGACCCCAGCAAAGGAACACACTTTTCCCTGACAACTTCAGTCAAGCAGCCAGAGCTTTCCACGATTCAATTACAGTTCAGGCCCCTTTGTCTTGTCAAGCCAGGGCTCTTCGTACTTCCACACATGAGGTGGGAAACAGGAACCATACACTAAGTTGACTCAAATCCTGAATCCTCAGGTGCAGGGACGTTTCTGGTGGAAGTAGCTTTCGAGATTAGAATATGTGGCTACCTCAGCACAGAGGTAGGCCTTTGCTTCTCCTGGTCCCTGCTGAACCTTTGGGTCAGTGGTTCTCAGCTCTGGCTGAGCATTAGAATTACTTGAGGCAATGCTTGTGCCCACTCCCCTGAATTTCTGATTTAATGGTATGGGGTGTGACCTAGACATTGACAATTTTTAATTTTAATTAAGGCTTTCCAAGCGATTCTAATGTGCAGCCAGAGCTGTGAATCACTCCAGGATCTTGTAGTTCAGTGGCTGTCAAGCCTTAGCATTTATAAGTATTACCCGGTCACACCATAAGAAATACAGCATCCAGGTCTGCCTCGCAGAGAGGCTGATTCAGTAGGACTGGGCTGGGGCCTAGGGATCTGCATTTAATCAGGTAATCTCAATGATTCTTTTGCAGGAGCTCTCAAAATTAAGGCTCAAGAAGCACAAACTCAGACCTCCTTCTTGTAGGGACTAGGCTTGGACAGCCACCTCTGATGGTGTATTCTTTCCCCGGTGGGTCCATTTTCCTAGGTCTCTGCGGGGAGGGGGGTAGTTTGGGGAATAGCAATGTGGTGAAATCCATGTGAAATTGTTCACTGTAGATGAGTAAGCACAAGGGAGCCCATACTTACCTTGCTTCCCGGGTCATCCACCCCTGTCAGGGATTGTAAATTTGAAAAGAGGCTTTGATTCTGTAGGAAGGTGCTGTGGGTTTGGGAGAGAGACAGATGCCAGCCATACCTAGAAGCATAATCTTTGATGTGGTGAAAAAATGTGAAATTGTTTACCACAGATGATCTGGTAAGCAAGGTAAGCACCATGCTTACCTTGCCTATTGGCTAATCCACCCCTGAATAGAAGATAGGAGTCTCCTACTTCAGGAGCAGAGAAGCCTATAGAAAATGAGAAATAGGGTGAAGGGGGAAGGGAAGTCGGAGAAACTAAAGGAAAGAGAAATGAACAAAGAAGCAAAGAAGGGCAAGAAGAAAATCGGAAGAGCAGCAGAATGTGGCAGGAGGGCATGGCTGAGAAAACACGAGCCCCCAAACATCAGACACCCTGCTCAGGTCCCAGTGCCAAATCTGGACGCCAGGGAGCTGACCTTGAGTTCTAGAGAGGGATGTCAGCAGCAGGGTGGGCTGCAGAGGGAAAGCCCTACAGGAAGGTGGCGTGTGGGGTGAATTTTGTGCTTACCTGCCGAGGATCTTGCTGACGCAGCCATGGCTGACGCGGAGCTGGCGGGAGATGTCACAGGGCCGCACGCCCTGGTGGGCCAGGTCTACGATGCGTTGGCGCACCACTTCTGGCAGGGGTCGGCCGTTCACAAAAGCCCCTCCCAGCTGGTTCAGCCCTCCGTGGCCTAAGGAGACAGCAGTCCCAGGGACAGTTGGTCAGGGCCAGGCAGGGTGGTTGGGTGGGAATTAGCCCATGAGTGCAGGTGGTGTACGTGAACATGCCTGTAAACACGTGATACCTCTACCACCGTCAGGCCCTCTGGACTTGCCCTGCCACCCTCTCCTGTGTCCCACCTCCCAGGAAGGCTAGCACAGGTGGGTGTGTGATGCTCAGGGATGAGGCTGATGGTTCCAGAGGGTGATATCATGATCTGGTCACCCTTTGGGGCTGCTCAGTCTGCTTTCAGACCCTCACCTCCTCACCCCATCCTTTCCTTCCCTCCCTCTGAAAAGAGCAGGTATAAAGACTTGGGGGTCAGGTCCTTATGCACTGATACTGAGCTGTGTCACCTCAGGAAAATCCCCTCCCCTCCTGGGTCTTTGTTTCTTCATCTATAAAATGAGATCCTAGGGCTGAATCAGTTGTTTTCAAATCAAATGTCTCTCTCTCTCTCTTTATTCATAGAACCAGATTTTTTAACAAAATCACATTGAGAACCACAAACACAAAATGGTAAAAGTCGAGCTTTTCTGGCTGAGGTGGGGTGGAGTGAGGCCTAGAGCTCCGCCTGTGGGTTCCCAGCCTGAATGACCTCCAAGGTTTCTTCTCTAACAGTCCAAAAATCCCCAAACGTGTTGTCACCAAGTCAATTCAATTCTGACTCATAGTGACCCCATGTTTTACAGAGTAGAACTGGTCCATAGTGTTTTCTTGACTGTAATCTTTACAAAAGCAGATGGACAGGTCTTTCTTCCATGGTGCTGCTGAGTGAGTTCGGACTGCTGACCTTTAGATTAGCAGTCAGGTGCCAACTGCTTGTGCCACCCAGGTACCTAACAGTCCAGGACTCTGAAAATGACTGGCCGCGACCTCACTAGCACACATACCCTGGGGCCCAGGACTGATCTGACGGGCTGCAGAATGTGCACATGAAGGTAAACGCAGGCTTTGCCTTAGCCACCTTCCCGACTCAGCCTCTTCCTCTGGCCCCGGTGGGTATTTCATTATGAGCCCACCCATCTGTTCAAACACGTATTTATTGACTGCCTACTCTGTGCCAGGCACTGTACTAGGCCCTGTGGATGCTGAGGTGAATCAGGCAGATGTCATCCTTGCTCTGTTCCCACGAGGTTTATTCTAGTAGGGGTACAAACCAGAGAACAGGCAATTACAATACCACACGATCACTGCTGGGATGGGAGGGTGCAGGGGTATGGGGACCTCTGGAGCTCAGGCTCGGGTGGCCATAGCAGGGTTCCCGGAGAAGGCTAGGCAGAGACTGAAGGATAAAGAGGTGTTAACTATGTAAGGGAGAGAGGGAGAAAAGTGTTTCTGACAGTGATAACAGCATGTGTGAAGGCTTAGAGGCAAGAGGGTGCTTGTCTGTATAGAGTCACCAGCCTATTCAGCCTATTCAGCTCTATAAAATCCCTAGATCCACACTGGGGTAATTTTAGGACCAACATCTCCACTTTGCCACTGAGGAGACTGGGGCTTGGAGAGTGTTAGTGATTTCATGTATACGATTTATGTGACAAGCTTATATGAGGAGGAGCCAGGACCCAGCCAAGGCTTCAGGCTCCAACCATACTGCTTCCTGAGGGAGCCCAGTTCTATGGCCAGAACTGACCCTGGGTCGGTCCTGTGCTGACGTGTCATGGTCAGGGCATAAAGGGCATCTTTTCACACCAGGGACATGACTGGTGATCTGGCAGGATGTTGAGACGGTGGATCCTGGGGTGGGAGTCAGAGGGAGCGGACAGGCGAGGAGGATGATCCTATAGTTAGGCCTCCGTGTTAACTGGTTATTTAAGGACTATTTATGGCAGAGGGTGGGAAGTACCTTTGCTGGGCACACAGTGCCCATTATCACCCACTGACTTAGCACATTCAGAACTGCCTTGCAACGTCTCCGCAGGGGCCCAAACTGTCTTTAGTAGAACAGCCAATTTCCCTTAAAAAAAAAAATTGTTACAAGCCTCTGGCTTGGGCAGTAAGTTAGGAGGAAACGCCCGCTGGTCAAACTCTGAGCAGGAGGGACACTGTGATCCATCTTCCTGGTGGAGGCAGTTGGGTGAGTCTGGGCATAGCTTCCACCTGTACACTCCTAGGCAAGTTGTCCCAGTGAGTGCCTCTTGAGGGCACCAGGGCTGGGAAGGCGTCCAGGGGGGCTTTCAGCACTGCCCAGATGGTTGGCAGACTGGCCACGCCCACTACAAAGCCTATTCTACTGGTTTTTCTCTGACCCCTCACTCTATCCTTGTTGCTTTTCTGCTCTTTTGGGTGCAGACACTGAACACAAGGGGGCGCCAAGCAGTCACCTAGACACGGACAAGACCTTGAGCAGTCCGGCTTTGTCCCCATTTTCCAGAACTTTTGTTGCCTAGTTGGCTGAGGCTTACATATTTGGGCTAGAACCTCTGCATCTGGAAGCAAAGCTTCTTACAGGGTTTGAGGAGGAGGTCTTCAGCACTAGAAAGGTGGCAGTTAAAGAACAATTGGGATGAATTGGCTAGCTGTGCCTTTTAAAAAAATCTACCTTGTTTCTGTAGTATAGCTGTGCAGGCTACTGTCCTAAATTATCCTAAAGGGCTGGTTCAGGATCCTTAGGGATCCAAACCCTCAGAAACTCTCCTGGACAGTTATTTACAGATCAGCCAGCATTTGTGTGAAGGGGAAGGTGTATTCACACCTCTGCCCCCTAGACTGTGAATTCTCTTGTGCTTAATTTTACTCAGCTTCTGGGGGACTTTGTGTTATATGGAAAGAGCCTTGGGCCAGATGCCTGACTGAATCTGCCATGTATTAATCTTATCATTTGAGGTTTTTTTTTCCCATTGCTTTTATCCTTAGTGTTTTCATCTATTAAATGGAGCGAAATAAAACTTTGTGTGCTGTGCCTGCTGCTGATCTACAACAGCTGCTTTAAGAAGACAGGGGAATGAGGATGAAGTGTCTGATTAGCTGAAAATATTGAGATAAGTATTTTTTTTTCCCTCATGCTTAATACTCACCTTGTTGAATGTTATGACCACAGCTTGGCCCTAGGTGTAGGGCAATGGTTCTCAAACTTGAGTGTACATCAGAATCACTTGCGGGGCTTGTTAAAACACAGACTGCTGAAGCCAATGCCCTGAGTTTCTGAGTCAGTAGGTCTGAGATGGGACCAAGAATCTGTGGTTCTAAGAAGTTCCCAGGTAATGCTGATGCTGCTAGTCTCGGGACCACATGTTGAGAACCATTGGTTTAGGCCAGGCAATGGCCAGTAAAGAAAATTTAAGAGAATAATGTCTTCTATAAATAATTATTCTTATTGTTTGTATATTATGGTTTTCATTTCTTTCCATCTCAGTACGTATTTATTGAGCACCTTCCATGAGTCAGGTACAAAACACTGGGTTTACAACCTTGAACAAGGTAAGAATCCTGGCTCTCAAGGAACTTAGAATCTTTTAGGGGAAACCATCAGATAAGTTGGGAATCACCATGTAAAGGGGGAAATCTCTTGAAAGAGGTAAGTCCAGGTGCTAGAGGAGCCCACGAGTGGTCGGAGAGAGGTTACAGGGAGGAAGCCTAGGAGGTAACCAGTTGAAAATGTTTCCACAGGAAAAAATCCATGGGCAAGGTGTTGGTGCTTTCAGGAAATTGAAAGACACTTATTGTGGCTGTAGGACAGACAGGAAGGACAGTTAGGAAAAAGCCTACTGGCTACCGGTGGTGATAGCCCTTATGGTTTGAGGTTTTGAACTGAGTCCCTATAATGGAGGAACTTTTGTCCTTCCTGTGTCCGGTGTGGGGGAGTGGACTCTGCTGGGTGAGTCACCACCAAATGCCCCCAGGTGGGTGCAATCTTCCTTCCTGCACTGGGGAGGGCCTGGCTGCCCATTGCATGACCACTTTTGCATGCTGCTGTGGACCAGGTGGGCCTCGAGGCCGGAAGCCAGAAATGAGTGGGAGCCCCATGGTTGGGCTGGGGGCAAGGTGTGAACAGGAAGAGGTTTGAAACTTCATAAGCAAAGGCTCTTTGCATTGTCTAGGGGCACTTCTGCAGGAACGTGGGTGGGGAGGGGTGGGTGTGGAGAGGGAAGACAACACTGCCTGGCCAGAGACAAGTATGTTTCTGACTGAGAAGGTACTGAGGGAAGGGAATGAAAACTTTCTCGGGCTGGAGAGGACTTATCTTATACTAAGGGGATTTGGAGTTTTGTGAAGCTCTAGGGGAAGCCTGCTGTCCAAAAATGTGTACTTTGGAGAAGTGATCATTTGGGAAGATATTAGGATTCTCTTTGGTAATTTCTTCACCCTTACAGGGCTCTGAGGAATAGGGATAGCAAAGGAAAAGAGAGAGGATCATTGCTGAAAAACCTTGCCACATCTAGCAATCCCACTCCAAGGTATATACCCTAAAGAAGTAAGAGCAGAGACACAAACAGACATATGCACACCCATGTTCATTGCAGCATTACTCACAATAGCAAAAAGATGGAAACAGCTTAAGTGCCTATCAATGGATGAATGGATAAACAAAGTGTGGTACATACACACAATGGAATACTATGCAATGATAATAATGATGAATCTGTGAAACATCTCATAACATGGATGAATTCGGAGGACATTATGCTGAGTGAAATAAGTTAATCACAAAAGGACAAATATTGTATGAGACTACTATTATAAAAAAACAAGAAAAGGTTTACATACAGGAAAAAAAAACTTCAATGTTTACCAGGGATGGGAGGCGGAGGGAGGGAAAATTACTAACTAGATAAAAGACTCATGTTAATATTGGTGAAGGGAAAGGCAATACACAATATCAGGGAAGTCAGCACAACATGACCAAGGCACAGGTTACTGAAAGTAACAAAAGAATAAAGGGCAACTATGGTAATTACTATAACATAGACAATCCTGCAACAATAGTATTAACAAACAATAATCTAAGAATGGATACATAGGTAGATAGGTATGCTAAAGAGGGAGAGTGTAAGGC